AAGTATTTTTTGTTGGTTTGTTATTTCAATCTTCACATTTATTTCTTCATATTTTTTGAGTTTTCTTAGTATTATGAGTTTTACTGATTCTATAGTGAGTTTTGAAAGAACTGTAAGTCATCTTGCTACTGCTATGGTTGCCAAAGAAGTGATAGACCAATCTAATGTCAATCTTGAATCCTTAAAAGAGGTGATATTAAATCTTTTTAATGCTTTTATTGTCTAATCTATTGCTCCAGGTACCGAACCTTGGTATTTTGATTCTGGTTGTTGTAACCATATGTCTTCAATTACTACTCATTTCTCTTTAATGTCACTAAATAATTTCTTTCTTGATATTTATTCTATTGATAGTACCTCTATGAATGGTAGTCACATTAGTAATATTTCTACAAAGTCATTAACTTTACCAAATGCCCTTTTAGCTTCGAAACTTAGTTATAATCTTTTATCTATTTGTCAATTATGTGATTTTGGTCTTGAAGTAACATTTTCTAATCATGGTTGTCATGTGCAGGACCCACGAACAAGACAACTTCTTGGAACTAGTTGCAAAATGGGGGGGGGGTTTGTTTGAGCTCAACTATCTACATATTTCTAATCATAAAATGGATACACCATTATTTCCAAATGATTGATTCATCCAAACTCTGCTTTGTGCTGTTGAATTAGAGTCTTTGTAAATTCCATATCAACAAATTTTCCAAGCCTGTGCTACTACTAATATTTTTCCTCTTCATTTACGGCACTCACTGCTCAAACATGCCTCTATTAGTAAACTTCGTTCACTTATCTTTCGTGATTTATTAGAATTTATTCCAAATGGATCCTTGCATTGTGTGTCATGTCAATCTGCAAAGCAACCAACTTTATCTTTTTCAAATAGTCATTCTCATTCTACTGCTCCTTTTGATCTCATACATTCTGATGTTTGGGGTCGGGAGGTTCCAGGTACTTTGTGTTATTTATTGATGATCATGTTCGTTTTACTTGGATATACCTTATGATAATCGCTCAGAATTATCACAAATTTACAATATGGGCATTTCTAAACCTTCTTCTACTGATCTATATTGTGATAATCAAAGTACTATGTAGATTGCTCACAATGATATCTTCCATGAACACACAAAGTGTATTGAGGTTGATTGTCACTTTATTCGTCACCATGTTGCAAAGGAAACCATTCGTTTGATTTTCATTAATTCTGCTGATCAACTTGTTGGTTTGTTTACGAAGGCGCACTTCCTTGGACGCTTCCAAACTTTTCTTTCCAAACTCAAATTAGTTTCCTCACCACCATCTTGAGTTTGCCACCACCTTGAGTTTGCGAGGATATTAAAATATCAGTATTTATTTTAAAATATTATATTCACATTATAATTGATTATATACATTTAAGCCATTTGGTTTTATACTAAGGAATATTCTATTATGTAGTTTCATATCTAGGAATATTTTATTATATAGATCTATATATAGAACCTTTGTACATACAATGAAAACAAGAACCTAAGAATATTCTATTATATAGTTTTATACTTAGAAATATTTTATTATATAGTTTTATACCTAGAAATATTTTATTATATAGATTTTATATAAGACTTTTGTATATACAATGAAAACAAGAAAACAAAAAAAGACAATGATTGGTGCACATCCAGATCCAACACCCGGGTGTGCACCCCCTACATAAAAAAAAAAAAAGATGAACCGGGTGATGGGCATTTTTTTTTTATATGATGTGTGCACACCCTGATGATGTGTGCACATCCGGGTGTTAGATCAGGGTGTGCACACACATTTTCCAACAAAAAAACAATAAATCTTTCTTCAAATTATTTCTTTTCTTTTCTATCTCTAACATTCCACTCAATCATTTCCTTCTCCCTAAACAAGTATTTATCAAATGATCCATTTTCCATGAATTCATATACAAGCGCACTCACAAAGTGATCATGGCAAAAACCATAAAGTCTAACCAAATTCATATGATATGTTTTTCCAATTGTGCCTACCTCAGCCATGAATTGATCTCCTGCTGCTCTCGCAGAACTTCTCTCGAGCACCTTGACTGCAATCTTGACACCATTAGGAAACTGCTCTTTATAGACTACCCCAAATCCCCCAAATCCTAACCTGGTCGAATAATTGCTCGCGAATGCACAAAGTTGCTGAGCAGTGAATCTAACCAACTTCTCCTTTACCACCTCTTTCAAGAATTTCTCCACGGAGGGTACATCACCCTCCCAAACTTGAACCGCATAGTGGGGCTGACTAACCAACGGAGCACTCGCCGTCTGCACACTCGCTATAGCTCTTCTGGCCATGTTTGCACAGAAAAAATAGACAGCTGTGATGATCACAATTGTCACCAAGATCCCAATTATCCCTAAAAATTAATGTATCAATTGGCATTATTATTAATTTGGATATGATAATTCTAAGTTGGTCATGTTAAATGCTGCAAGAACTAATCGGCAACTAGTTCTGCTCCGTCGACTCCAGAAGGTGGGGGAGGAGATGACCGATAAAAGGTGGAAGACATTGTGAAAGAAGAAGCTAGATCACCTCAATTATGACACCAGGTAAGTCATAAAGATAGGGGAAGAATTCATGGTAACATAAAAAAAAAAAAGGGGGGAAGAATTCATGGTCATATGGATGGAGCTTTGTCGGGCACGATGCGTTAACGTCTTTGACCAACCATCCGTCACCGCGTCCAG